GAAGGAAGGAAGGAAGGAAGGAAGGAAGGAAGGAAGGAAGGAAGGAAGGTGTTAAGAGGGGACTTGGAAAAGAGATTCCACAGTCCTAGATTGATGTCAGCCCTTTGAGGTAGGCCAGGTCAAGAAACAGACATGGCAGGGCTACCAGAAATGCTCCTTATTGTAGTAAGGTAGAATAACAGAACCTTGAAAGCCTGCCCAAGTGTCTCTTTGACCCAACTTATCCTAAACATAATCAAGGTGGGTTTATTTTGAGTTTCTCTCTCATGCCTCCATCTCAAGACGGTGGAATCTCTTCTCTGAGTCCTCCTTAATAGCCACTCATTCCTTCTTCCTTTCACAGCTTTCTCATCACTTTCCCAAGGCCAGCTTTACATTCCTTTACATAATTGGAGGAGCGGGATTCAGTGCACTCTAGCGACTTTCAGTTAGTGTTGTAGAGCAAGAGCTGTGGGCGACTATATCAAGAGGCAAGTGATGCTTCCCCAAAGCCACGTGCCTTCTGGAGCTCAGTTGCCAAAGCCAGGAGTGTCACCTGCCAGAGGTTTGTGGTCCTCTTTCCTTTTTAAAGCTGGTGAAAAGAATCTCTCAGGTCCAGGGCTTCAGGCAGTCCCAGCTGCTGATGTTTGGTGGCTTCTTCTGAGCTTCTCTGGAAGGAAGGCCAGACTTGGAGGCTAAAAATGAAACATCTCAAGGCTGTTGCGTGGGGAACAGTGCTGGACGGGAGAAGCAGCTGCTGCAGGTTTGTGTGGCTGGGTTTACACAACACAGAATGCCCAATAAATAAACCAAGGTGTAGCTTAAAGTGACAGCTTGGCTTATATAATATGCCAAGACAAGGATTCCCACACACATACTGAGCCACAAGCTAACCAACTCCATTTTAGGATAGTTTGGTGTGTTGGGCAAAGGAGAGAGAAGCCTCAACTTTTTATATTCATTGAGAGACAGCACTAAACCCCTTTCTGCTATTTTATGCCAACTTTGACTTTTTGCAATGTACTCCTATTCTTTCATATCTCATATATTCATATTCATTCCAGTTCCAGTTCCATGGCTAGTATGCTTGTCCTCCTGCTCCCTTTCATTCTCCATGCAATTGTATATAGTCTCGCACAGTCCTCCCCCCCTTTACGATTTAATTTATCTTAGATAATGCCAAGCTCTCTAATATCAGAGTATGATCAAGGAAGCGTGATACATACCCACTTTTTTAAAATGAATTTTAATGCAAAGAATTGGGGCTTAGGGTCAGAATTTTGAGAACTGAGATAGGAATCCTCCAGCCCTCCTTTATTACTGAGTTATTAAGGTGGGATCTCTTTGAAGGTTTGAATTGTTTTCCCGCAATATTGGCATGATAGACCAAGAGCCCATTTATTTGATAAGTCTATAAAAGACTTTCCCATCTGCTGATTGTGTGTAAAGAAACTTCCCTCCCCTTCCCTCTCCTCCCCTTCCCTTTGCTCCCCTCTTCCTCTTCCTTTTTCTCTCTTTCTCTTTTTCTCACAGCACGATCTCTTACAAATAAAAATATCTGGCTGGTTTCAAAAATGTATTATCAGAATGTTTCTATGCTTTTTGTGCTTTTAATTCCAGCATCCTATGTATGTTATTTTACTTTCAAGAAAGCTATAACCTGCTTCACTGCTTCCTAAGACAATGACTGGGTTCTGGCAAGATGCTGAAGCACAAATGATCAACCCCCATTTTATCATACTCTAGTATATCACATTAACCTACCTACTATTTCCAGGGTTTGTTTATTATTTATTTATTTATGCCATGTGTACGGCCGCCGATCTCAAAGACATGACTGGGCCACTAACAATGAATAAAAACAAAGGTTCCTCCATGTTCAGGTGATCACTTTTTAAATAGATCCTTAATTCTGAACATTTCTTCTGTCTTCTCTTTTAGCTATGTCTGACTTCCATGTACACCCCCAGAGTGCAGCGGTGGAAGAAGGAGGTGTTGCCCGCTTTCAGTGCCAGATCCATGGCTTGCCAGAGCCCATGATAATGTGGCAGAAGAATCATCTCCCTATCAGCACGGATAATGACAGGTAATCATGCCTGAAATAACAAAGCCTGGGTGGGGGAGTAGGGGGAGTTCCCTTCTCAGATATCTGCTGATCCAAGTTTACAATTTAGAGTGGACTAAACACATGCCGCTCGTTTTATCCCTTAAAATCTCAGAAATGTTGCCCCCTGCATAAAATTGGTCTTGCAATCTGACGACACAGAGGGATAGTCAAGTGGTGCAAGGCTGCTCAGTGGCCACGCTCCAGCCTGATTGAAGTAGGTAAGCCAACATCCTTCCAGTTCAGCATCTATTTATTTCCCAAATCTGACTTTTGGCTAGAACCTTTCCTTGGGTACCACTTCCAGCAGGATTCTCTTTAGGTGCAAGGTATCTGCAGAGAGGTTGGGGTCAAGCAAATGAAGATGGTGGCGATGACCACATGATCAAAGCCCTGCCTATTTTTGATGTATGGCACATGCAGAGTTTATCCTCCTGCCTAAAGAGAACCCCACCTATATCTGCTGGAAATGCAAACTTGTATTGTTATTAGAGAAGATAAAAGGGCTTCACGAACACACCAAGAAAGGTGAGAAGTTCCTGAACAGGATAAGTGAAGCTCCTCAGGAGGGCCAGAGAACAGAAATGAATGCTAGAGAGCCTAAAGTGGAAGATAAGTGGAAGTACATGACTCAGAGAAGCAAGAAGATCAGGAGACTCTCAGTGCCAGTGGAGCACTGATATCAAGCTCTTGCTCTAGAAGACAAACCACAGTCCTTTGAGCAAGCCTTTCCAAACCTGGTTTCATACAACAAAGCAGAAGACTTGGGCCCCCATGGGTCAAAGGAACCCAAGTGTCACTTTGGGGAAGAAGACTCATATCATGGTGGTGGGTGATTCTATGCTGAGAAGAACTGCTACATTCCACCCTGATGACATAACAGGTTTCAAGTGCCAGTATCTAGGATTTGATTGACAGACTGCTGAAATTCTTCAAGCCCACTGATAACTATTCCTTCCTAAGGATTTATGTGGGAATAAACACCACTGTTAGAAGAGACATTGAATGCATCTCCAGACCCTGACTTTGAGGTGAAGTATGTGGACATGTAAGTTATGTTTTTGTGAGTCCTTCCAGTTGAGGTTCACATTGTAAGAAGGCAGAACAATGGCTTTCACGATGGTGCCGACAGAAGAGTTTTGATTCCTTGAACATGGACCACACTGTATACATGAAGGACTCTTGGCAAGAGACAGCCTACTTCTCCCAAAGACAAGGAAGGAGTGTTTGATAAGCATCATGCCAAGCTTATCAGGAGTGTATTAAGCTAGATCAAGAGAGGAAGGTTAGCAAAAGCTCAAAACTGACTGGTGTGAACAGTGCAGGAGACAAAGTGTGTACAAGAGTGGAGTGGGGAGGGGCTTAAAAGATTGACAGGAAACTACAACAGCAAAGCCAAGAGGGGTTTCTACTCATAACACCAATGCACAAACTATGGGAAACAAATGAGAAGAACTTGAAAACCTAATACAGGAGGTCAAATACAATGTCATAGGCATCACTGAAACTTGATGGAATGACAGAGATGATTGGAAGACTATAACTTATTCAAAAGAAACAGACTCAGCAGAAAGAAGTGTGCACCATACAAAGGAAAGGACATGTTGCCCAGAACTCTTCAAATCAGAGCATGAAAATTCTGTTGAGATTGTATAAGTAAGAGTAAAAGGAGAGAGAAACAAAAGTGATATAGTTGTAGGAGATTATTATAGACTGCCTAGATAGGTGAAAGATATGGGGGAGAGGTTTCAATGATCAGATGATGAGATTTCCAGAGTGGAAGGCAATAGTGACAATGGGAGATTTCAACTATCCGGACATCTGCTGGAAATCGTACTCTGCCAAGAGTCAAACTCTTGTCCTCTCTTACTGACAACTTCATTTGTTAGATGGTGAAAGAAGGGACGAAGGAGTATGCTATTCTAAACCTCATCCTTATCAACAGAGAAGAACTGGATGAAGAAGTGAGGATGATTAGAACCTTGGGAGAAAGTTCTCCTTGCATTCATGGTATCAAGGATAGAAGGAAGAGAGATGAGTACATAGGATTTCAGAAGAGTGGGTTTTGATGAATGCAAGTAGAAGGTATGTTAGATCCAATGATGTGAAATCCTGAGGGAAAAAGGCTTTGGGCCAAATGGGAAACTGAAGCTGCAAACAATTTATACTGAAGGACATACCTCTCAAGACCACAAGGTGGATATATACAGAGCTTTCTAAAATGCTGAAAAGAAAAAGTGATTTGTATAGGAAATGGAAGGAGGGGTATATAACCAAAGAAGGATGCAAGACAGTTGCAAGAAATGGTAAGAATTGTGTCACAAAAGCTAAAACACAGAATGAGCTCAGAAATGCATTTTTGTTTTTGGCAGGGGGAGGGGTATATCAGGAACAAAAGGAAACACAAAGAGGGTTGGTCTGTTATGGGAAGTGGGGGGGAATTAGTCATGGGTGCTGGCAAGGGGGTAGAATGTCTTAACTTGTTTTTTTAGGTCTGTCTGCTTTCAGATAAAAAACAAAAGCCCTAGCAGGGTATTGTTGTATCATCAGGAATTGCAGCTCAGGATAAACAAGGAGAGGATTGATCACTCTAATATTTGAGAACTCCTAGAGAACTGCTGAGGTCCCAAAAGACTAGAGAAGAGCAAATGTCCCTGCTATCAGAAAAGGAGACCCCTCAAACCCATAGATCTATCAACTTGACATCTATACTGGGCAGGATACTTATCAAACAGCATGTCTGTGGGCACTTGGATTGGAATGCAACCATTAACTGGAACCAGCAACAAAAGAGTCATGAGAGACAGAGTTTTCTAGTGTAATAGATCAGGGGAATGCCATGGACATAGTGTATCTTGACCTCATCAAACCATTCAACAAGGTCTCTCATGATACCCTCATGGATAAAATGGTAAAATATGGGCTAGATACAGTCTGCCAATTTCTTCTAGAACTGTTTCCCCCCCTCCTTGCTCTGAAGATGATGTCAACCATATTACTGTATTTATTATTTTCCTAATTGATTATTTTTAACCTCCACTTCAAAACAGCTTTCCTAAGGTCTGTATAGAACATCCCCAAATTATAATTTAAAGTGAAAAGATCATCTAACTTACACAATAGGTTAACTATAAAAATATTAATTGTTCTGAAAAGCTTCATTGCAGCCTGCAAATTTCAGTACTAAGATATTAAACAATCCAGTAAAATTGAAATAACTTTTGGTATTGTAGGAACAATATATAATTTTTATTGAAACTTTTAAACAAGAAGATAAAAACAAACACAAACTAATATAAAGCATTGCAGGAATAATGAAGTAGGTGTCAAACATGCTGAGCGGGAAGGTAGTCAACAACCTTGTCCTGGACAACCGCTTGTTGCAACTTCCCATAGAAATCATACAAATGATGCTGGATTGAAATATATGTGAAAAGATATTCCTTCAGATACTGTAGTCCCAAGCAGCTATCCAAAATTAAGTGCATTTTCTGGATCCTTCAGGTACACGCTGCTTCCCAAGGGGGTCTTGCAGATTACAGGACTCCGAGCCGAAGATGCTGGGATCTTCCACTGTGTCGCCAGCAACATTGCGAATGTGAAATTTAGCAGAGGGGCCAGGCTCACTGTATCAGGTTGGTTGGAGAGGGATGTTGGTGGGGGGGGGGGAGGAGAAGACAATTGCTTTTCATCAGGATCAGCCCTACTGTTAGGGAGCAGGAAATAGGTGTCTCAGGCAGCAATTGTTCAGAAACAAGGAACAGCCATGTCATATTAGAGGCCTCTGCCGTATCTCTACCAGGTACCTGCCCTGAACATGTTTAGACGGCCTTTTGCAGCTTTTCCCAACTTGGATACTCTCCCCATAGATGCATAGCTTTCAGATCCTAGAATGTCTTATGTGGTAGGATGGTTGGGTATTAGAACTGTCACTCAAAGCAAGATAATGCAAAGCCCTTCTTTCTAGTTTATTTGCCAAAGAAAATTGAAGAGAGAGGGATTTGGGAAGGATGGGGCGAAGAAGGGTCTGATGGAAACTCAGGAGCTCTAGCCTTGGAAAAATACATAGATTTGGTGCCAAGGAAGATAAGGATCGACAACCTGTACATATACTGTAGTAGTCAAGGAACCATTTTAAATTATTTAACCAAAGTTAATTCAATTCCTTCTTTAAACATTGATGAAGCGGGGGTGCTATTCCGTATCTTCCTTCACGTTCCACCGACTCGCATTACCCCAGATAAATAGAAGGAAATAGAGGAGGAACACCTAAAGAATTCCCAAAGCAGAAAAGGGTTTGCTGGTGGCAGAAAAGCCAGAAGATCTTTTAGAGGTATCCCTGGGTTAATGAGATCATATTTTAATTCTAAAGAAAAAATAAAAAAATAAGAAAAGGACCCTGACAACAGGAAGGGTGCACAGTTCAGGACCAAGAATTCAAGGAGTTGAAGACCACATCTCTGGAAGGCCTACCCAGGTTGGAGAAGGCTACCCTATTGTATCAAATTCACTGGAAGCAGCCAGTACTGAGGGAAGTTTCAACTGCTAGCATGGCCAACTTATATACATGGAATGGTTGTGTTTATGTGTGTGGGACAGAGAAAATGTTTTCTCCCTTCAGACAGCCAGTTTTCTCCATCTTTCCATTGGTTTTCAATGAGGCCATCTTCCCATCAGAATGTCTTGGGTTGGGTAGGACTTTTCTGGCTTAGCTGCAGGAAAAAACAATTATGGTTGGGCTCATGCAATATGCTTGATTTGACTCAAGTGAGGTGGGTTAGCTTGGTTCAGCAGGTTGCAGAAACCCAGCCATTGTCTTTACCGTGTTGTGTGAATTGGGCCACTGTGTTCAACCTGAAGATGGTTTTGTCTGGAGGCAGCATGCTCTCTGAACACAGATTTAGGATACAGCCTGTTTCAGTGAATTTTATATGTCTGTTTTGCACAATATTTATGCATCTGAGTTGGTAGGAGGTAGGACCTAAACTGGAATGTCCTTGTGCCTTTCCAAGGGAAGGCTATTCTGGGCTCTTTCAAGAAGACCAATCTTTAAAATAAAATAAAATAAAATAGGCAAAGCAGCTTACTCTCATTTAGACACTGACTAGGTATGGGAAGGTAATATGGAAAACCGTATAACTCCCATCACAGAACTCCAGAAGATTTAAATTCTGCAACTTTTCCAGAGTTTTAAAGCGAATTGGTTACAGCTTCTTTCTGTTAGGTCCCTTTAAACCTCCCTTCCTTCTGTATGCTTATTGCTTTCATCAGTTGATCAAAGACTGACAACTATTGTGACAACAGTGTGGGGTTTTTCTGGGTGCAGGTGTATCAGGCTGTTTTGCCAGGGGCTAGGGTTTATGGGCAAAATTTCATAATCTCTTGGCTTGGTTTATGGAATTCTGCAGCATTCACCTGGGAAGTGATTGTAGCTCTATGATAGGACAGATGTTTTATCTGTAGAAGGTCCAAGATTCAAAACACCTGGAAGACACTAGGTTGGGGAAGATGGTCTGAGCATTACTGTTCTTGTATCCCTTGAAAGGTGCTCCATAGGTCAAGTGCTGTTTCTCTTTGGTACCTGCTTAGCAAATGATAGTTTATAGTTGTTGACTGGTGTCACCAGCTTCCCAGGTGGCTTGTAATTTAGACTTTGGTCTCTTTCATGGGAGAATGCCCAATCTTCAGCAGAAACACTTTCTTCTGAAAGTGTCTTCTGGCTGACAGGATAAAGCTGTGTGATTGGCTGGTCTTGGTACAAAAACCTAGATCTTGGCCATTCGGTTCTCCTGTGGTCAACAGAGCAGAATGTGCCCAATCAATCAATCAATCAATCAGCTTTGTTACAACCACAGGCCAGGTCAAAGGTTCAGTACATGGCTTCAGACAGTAATTAGAGGCAAAAGTTATAAGCTACATAATATTCAGTAAAATCAATATAAAATACAATAATACATCATCAGAAAGGAGAGGGCCACAGATTTCAGTCTTCCTACACTTTGAAATTCTTTTTTTAATATAATTTTTTATTAAGAGTTTTTACATGGATAAAAGACAAATATAAAGAAAAAGAAAAGAAAAAGAGAGAGAAAATGCAGAAACCAAAACAGTAAAAGAAAGAAAAAGAGATAAAGAAACAGAAAAGACAAGCGACTTCCGACCTTCTTTTCAGCAGTTATAAACAAACCCATTGTCCATCCTCCCTCTTAAGTATTACAAAAAATCCTTTCAGCTCCTTATTCAATCCTTTTTCAATCATCAAATCCAGAAATTTCACTTTTGTCCATTTTTAGTGAAAAGTCCATAAAGGTTTCCAATCTTTTATGAAGTACTTATGAACAGGTCAGTTTTGCCATTTTCGCTAATTCTGCCATCTTCACAATCCATTCCTCCATTGTGGGTATTTCAGAGTCTTTCCATTGTTGTGGATATAATAATCTTGCTGCAGTTGCCATATATAAAATCAGTTTTCCATGTACCTTTTCTAATTGGCTATCCGTAACTACCAATAAAAAGAGTTCAAGTTTCTTCTCAATGTTAATCCTGAAAATTCTTTGTATCATCATATGTATTTGTGTCCAATTTTTTTTTGCTTTTTCCCAAGTCCACTATGCATGGTAAAATGTCCTTCCTATTTTTCAAATTTACAACCCTAACCCTAGAAGTACCTTTATACATCTTAGATAATTTCTCTGGTGTCATATACCAACAGTACATCATTTTATAAAAGTTCTCCATCAAATTATAACACAAGGCGAATTTCATCCCTTCTATCCATATTCTGTCCCATTGAGCCATCTGTATATTATGACCAACATTCTTACCTCACTTTATCATGCAATCCTTAACTTGTTCCTCTTCTGTTTCACATCTCAATAAAAGTTTATACATTTTACGTTAGCTCAGGTGCGCTGCCGGTCTTTACCTTGGCATCATCTCCAGTGTGGAGAGGTGCGCTAGTCTGTCATGTTTCCACCCAGAAGTCCCCTACACTTTGAAATTTCTTCCATAGAACTTTGGCCCCTGCACATTTCTAACATAAAATATTTGCAAAAAGGAAATATAAAAGGTTTTGAGAGAACTACGTTTGTCTACTTATACATTTCAAAAGATATTCTTGCGTTGCAACCTTGGGATGTGTTTATGCAGGATGGCTCATGCCATACCGTAATTAGGATTTACTTTAATATTAATTCGAGTAATATTAGTATCTCAGGGGCCTGGATTAAGAGTTCTTCCTCTTGACCTAGTTCCAGACATGGAGATAGCAGTCTTGCAGCATGATGTTAAGAGGAGCTACTCCCAGAACGGAATGAAGGACACCTCTCAGGCCTTCTCCATTTCTCTACAACTTGTGTCTGGTCTTTTCTGTACAGGCTCCCATTCTGCTGTTTACAAAGACCCTGTGATCCTTGTGGGACCTGAAAACTTGACTCTGACAGTGCACCAGACAGCCATCTTGGAGTGCATTGCAACTGGGAATCCCAGGCCTATTGTCTCCTGGAGTCGACTTGGTAGGTATCCAAAATTTGTAGCCTGTCCTCTCGGCAGAAGAGCTTGGATATTACTTTGGTTGGGGCAGAGCATCTTCTGGCATCATATTCTTTGGTTGGGCAAAGAGTTGCCTTGCGTTCATCCTTGCAATGTTGGCAGCAGCTGCTTGCAAACATCTGGATTTAGGATGCATTGAGAATTTATTTATTATTCGATTTATATCCCACCTTTATAATGCTTCCTTCTCCTGTTTTTCCCACCATAACAACCCTGTGAAGTGGGTCAGGCTGAGAGAGAAGGACTGGCCCAAAGTCACTGAGCCAGTTTTCATATGGTCTCCTGGATTTTAGACCAGCACCTTAACCACTACACCAAACTGGATCTCTGTGTTTATGTTAGAATGGCTTTATTTTCTTTGTACAAACTTGCCTGAAAGTGTCTTCGGGGACTGGTCTGCAAATAATAAAGCTTTTGCATCAGCTTCTAGACTATTTCTCCAGCATCATATCTTTCCAAAGTGGTCTCCATTCTCTTCTATGTCGTATGGGAATGATCAGCATAGAGTGTACCTTGTAGGGATGATGTATGTGGTATCCAGAACTCCCGTCTCCAACCTTGTGCCCTCAGATGTCTGGCCATACTGAATAGGAGTGGTGGGAATATTGTAGTACATCTGATCTGGGTGAGGGTGGGGAAAACTGTCCTAGAAGATCAGTCAACTAAATCCCTGCTGTAACTCATGTTTTTTGTTTAATTAGTTTCCCAACCATGACAATTTCCAGATGTGTGGACTTTAAATCCCAGAATTCTGCAACCAGCATGGCTGTTGATGAGAATTCTGGGAGTCGAAGTCCATACATCTACCTGGAAGATGCCAAGGATGGCAAACGCTAGTTTAGATTTAATTTAAAATATGAAGAAGAGCCTAGCATTGTGCAAGGCCCTCAGAGACCCCATGGAGGCATCCTTAGAAAATGAAATGGAAGAAGTACAGCTCAGAGCTTGTTTTGCCTATTGGCAAAATGGAAGTATCTTGCAGCTAGCCACACCTACCATGGCAGCCATTTTGTGAAAGCACCCGTAAAATGTTCTCAAAATGCTAAATGCGATCCCCAGTTCCCAAAGGTTGGAGTATCCTGTCCTTGATGAATTTCAGAGGAAAATGGATCCAGTTTATATAAGAGGTTCAGCAAAATAGGAATCCACGTGAGGGTTTGGTTGCTGTTTTAGTGAATACTTTTAAATATGTTGTAGGAGGAGAGCCAAGTTAATCTATCATGGTAAAAAATCAGAAGACTCAGGTAAACCTTTTCCGACTAACAAATCTTACTAAAACATATGAGCTAGTCAGGAAAGTTTGCATCTTTTAATAAAATTGGTTAGCCAGAAGAGGTGTTACCAGATCCTTCTGATTTAACACTTTTGAACTGAACAAAGTCTCTGTTTACAATTTACCCAGAAAAAA